ATAATACAATCTACTGCTCTCTTTGTTGGAGGCCTGTAGATTGCAAAGTAATATAATTTTTAGCGTAGGAAGATGTACTACAGATATTTCAAAGACAATTTCAACGGAATACACATTTAATTCCGTCAAGGAAATAGAATCGATATTATTTGGAACGTAGATGCAAGAACCCCCATATGCAGAACATTTATGTGATTCCTTTTCTCTACAATAATAGCCTGCGAGGTAAAAGTTTGGAATTTGGAAAATGCTAAGTTAATTATGAAATAACCAATGTTCTGTAAAGCAAAGAACATCCATTTGATTGAAATCGCTTTGTAGAGCTGCTTCGATAAACTCAGTTTTATTGAAAAGGGATTGAACAGTATGATGCAGTACGTTTATCTTTTGCAAGTACCCACACGGGATATTTTTCTACTGCATCTGATTGTAGTTGCTATATATTTACTCCATTTTGACCTCGAGTGCGTGGTCGAAGGTTGTAGTGTGTCCCGCTAGTGACAGATTGTGAGGAAACTGACGCATCAGGTGTAGGAGAATTGATAGTGGGAGTAGGAGAAATGGGAGGATCAGAGGAGGAAGTAAGTGGGTTTGAAATATGGTTGCAGTGTGTCCCGCTAGTGACAGATTGTGAGGAAACTGACACATCAGGTGTAGGAGAATTGATAGTGGGAGTCGGAGAAATGGGAGGATCAGAGGAGGAAGTAAGTGGGTGGGGGTGGAGAACGTAAGGAAGGTGAAAGAGGTGGAATTTTTTTAGGAGACTGAGTAGGACTGGAGATGATGTGTTGTTCTGGCTTGTTGCTGACTATGTTTTCCAGCAAGGTTCATGTGGAGACCATGCCAGGTGAAGTGTTTTGCTGAGAGGAAATTCATTTCAAAAAGTGTAACATTTGTTTCTCTCAGTTACAGTTTTAATTGTTGATATGCGTGCTTAATCTCTCTTCATAGTGTTGGTCTGTTGTACCAGAAGGGCAGAGTCGACACTACAATGTTAGTGTTTTGGGCGGCACGTTGTAATTTGTTTACACGTTGTTCAGGTGTAAAGTGACCGCCCAAATTAATGTCATTCTACCCTCCTATGATAATGACTGTGTTCTGATTGGTCAGTGTCTTTGTGTGAGTGTCCAACTCTGCAGTCACGTCTGCAAACCTCCCGTTAGAATTAAAAATATATGAGACTGAGTAGTTGGAGGGTAACTTCGTACTGAGAATGGAGGAAAGATCGCGGGCATGGCTGTCAGCTAAAATAAGTTCTTGTTTTTTAGACTCAGTAGGAATGTCTTTGTTTTCAAGTGGGCTAGGATGCGCAGCTTTACATGTTTTGGTTTTGACGCGCTTCCTAGCCTGTTTGCGTTGGTTTCTGCATGTATTTGTCGATGGCAGAAAAGGATGTAAGGATCGCGAAGGCGAGGAAAATCTGTTTCATAATCTAAAACACTAAATTTGTTTTGAGTTGCGACTGGATATGGTGTCTGTGTCTTTTGTGCCGTCACGGTTGCACGGTTGGGAAGATTCGCAGTGTTGCCGACTTGTACCCAACCGTCTGTAGAGAGAACAACCTCTTCCAACCTTCGGATATGTAGATCTAAATTACTGTTTATGTGTGTGAAAACTTTAAGAAGGTCGGTTTTGAGAGTGTAGAGAGTAAAAAGTTTAAAGATTAGTTTCCATGTCACGAATGCGTTTTAATGAACTTGATAAAATTGGAATAAATACAAGAAACTCAGATAAGAGCAAAAAGCAGTTAGCGTAATATTTTGAAAATGTAAGATAGTTATGTATTCAAAAATTTAAAAAATGTGAGAGTATCACTCGTTAATGTCATACTGTTTTTTGTGAAAACGCCCAAAATTCCGCATTTTTAGAAACGTCGAAATGCAAATTTTCTCAAAAACTGCTCAATGTTTTTTCTTTTATCTTTTCGAGAGAATAGTGCTAACTGCACTCTTTAATATGAGGTAAAGTTCATTCCGGGGAATTTTTGTTTTGTTTTTTAAATTATACAAATGTAATTTATTTGGAAGATCTCTAACTCGGCTAATATGCACATTTCCAACAATTTGTAAACACTATTGCATTTGTGAATTAATGTGCTTCAAATGACTTCACATGAAGTTTTTCGAAAAGTCAAAAATTTTATATGAAAATGTGCTTTAAATATCGAATTTACTGTAGCGCTTAAGCGCCATTTTCTTAAAAACGGCTCCAAATTTTTCAAAGAAAGTTGTTATTTAGAATTATGTTTTACTGTTACTTAATATTCTTAATATATTTCCGTTCTACAATTAGGAAATCGAAAAATTAGGAATATTTAAAAAAATGTACTTTTGGCGCCGATAGACGGTAGCAAGGAAGAATATATGCTACCGCGGTGTAACGGTTAGCGTTCCGGACTGTTGTACCCAAGTTAGCGGGATCAAACCCGATCGAAGCCGTGGAGCCCCCCCCCCCCACAATTCCTCCTCCTTTCTCTTCTCCTCATCCTCTACTTGTCCTTCCTGTCCTTTACATCCTTAACTCTTACTTCCCCTACGTCCCTTCCCTCTTTCCACTTCCCTTACTTTGCCCTCTTATTCTCCTCTCCTTCTCCCTCTTTCCCTCCTCTCCTCTTTCCCATCTCCCTTCTCCGCCACTGCCCATCGCTCTTATCCACTCTTTAATTTCCATGGGGCATATGAGTTGGGGCTGAGTACACAAGAGAAGAGAGTGTATACCTGTCTTCTATGCTGACAGTCATGGGTGAGAATTAACCCAATGAAAAGGATTGCATTTATACACAACGAACCAGTCATAGGTTGAACCTTACGCAAGATTATAAAAACTGTACTATTGGCACTAAAAACCGACTGACCACCAGTAGTTTATCAGGAAAAGCGAAATGATCAAAAATACGGAGGATGCAAGTTCCTATGTATTCCATCTCTCTTTACACAGGGAATGACAGAAAACAATTTAGATGTAACAATAAGGCATGACATGGGTCATCAACGACAATTTCATCGTTTACATTTTCGTTTCTTCTCCTGTCATTTAATACTGCAGTGTCTCTGGTTTCTAATACGTTCCATCACGTTCAAGTATTATTTATTCCGCCTCAGAAAGTAATCTCATTCTATTATTTTAAACGAATGTACAATATTTTTTTAAATATTTTTCACAGATTGTGGGTCGAGAATGTGACAAAACCGCACAACAAGCTAACTATGCTCTCGCCAGAGCTTATGAACTCAGGCAAGAGCAAGATGATGATGTCAAGAAATTCAATTCAGTTATTTTGCAAACTAAATGTCACGCTATAAGAGAGGCCCAAGTTGCAGAAAAGAAGCTCATAGAGTAAGTGTAATATAGGCTTGCGTGATTTAAACATTAACATAAATTTAATATGAAGGTTTTCATTATTTTTAACTATATTTATTGTATTAACTTTATTTTAAGGAAATTATTGTTCTATGTTTTTTTCCAAATTAGTCAGTCGATGGAAATAATTAATTTCCGAAACGTTGCTGTTTGTATATATCACATGTAATTTATGTTAATACTATAATGTCTTTAAATTGAAGGCCAAAGTACAGTCTGGCTCGTTTTTATTTTTGGTTACATTTTTTAATTTTTACATTCTTGAATTCAGATATTTTTATTGTATTAATATTAGATGTTTTCTTTGTACGTTTATAGAAAGCAGCTAAAAGAAGAAGAAAAAAGATTGGATGACATGATGGAACAAGAACGACGGAAAGCCATACACAAAGCAGATGAAGAAAGACGACGTGAAATTGAGAAAAAACAAGAATATGTCAAGCGCTTACTAAATCAAATTAGAGACAAAGAAATTTCAAAACTTCTTGAAGCTGAAAACGTAGAATGTGTAAGATATTTCGTCATTAATAATGTCAGGTATATCAATAAAATGTATTGGTACACGATGGTCCTCTTTACTGAATTATGCTTTCCTTTTGAGTAGGAAAGTCGTAAAATGCAAGAATCAAATATACAAATGCAACTTGAAGAATTGGAAAAACGTAAAAAGCAGATTGCTCTTCAAGAAAAAGTAAGAAAGGATTTAGAAGAAGTTAATAATCAGTTGAAACGCTTCCGCGAAATGGAAAAAGAAGATGAAAAGGCTTATGAGATCAAGGTAAACTTTCGTCACTTATATTCAATATTTATGTCATGTTTAAAATTAATCACATATTAACGACAGTGGGTTTCGTTGTTTCTCAACAACCCTCGGGTATATTAGCTGGGATAATAAGGTGTTTGCTTCTGATCGGTAATTACAGCTTAACTCTTTAATCAATCCAAATACAGTTTGTATTGAATGCCAATGCAACTGATTGTTGTTATTAATATTCAGACATTAAGATGTACGGATATTTTTAACGTGATCTGTTTCATTGAGCATCGAACTTAATTTTTAGCGAGCTTCCAATGACTTGGAAAACACGTTTTGGCTTTCATAATTTGGTAAAACTCACTTCACCGCAAACTGCTGCTGTCGCAGTTCTTACCACCAACAGACAAAAGAAACAGTTTCTTTTACCTCAGCATCATTCTCTCATGTGTATGCGTATTTTCCAGATGAAGGAATTGCAGAAGATGAAAGCCGAGCAAGAGGAATGTAGAGAACTTAGGCTAAAAGCCCAAGCTCTGTCTTACAATCAAGCATTTGCAAAATGTTGGTGCACGCAAAAGAAAGAGCATGATATGCGAGACAAGTTGAACGACTTACACGAGCAACGCATTCAAGATGAGGTGAGATATTGATTAAACATAGGGGGATATTTTATGGAAAAATCATCAGTTGCAAAAATTTAGTTTTTTTTCGGAACACTAAAACTGTGGTTTGTAAATTGGTTGAAATTTTATGACGTATTTATCTATAATCTAAAATTCAATAAATTTTGAAGAAAACATTTGTCAATTTCACTACGTCTTCGCTTACACTATCATTGCTTACCACGTACTTTATTGTTCAATATAAAAGTTTTTGTAAAAGCTTTTAATTATCAGAAATAGCGATGAAAATTCTCACATTTTTGCCCTTTGTTATCCAGCAAATTACACTGGGGTAACGAATTTTAACTTACAAAAAGAAAATTACTGATATTTAGAGTAATTTACAATTCTGATCTCTAAAATAACCCCATAATGGTCAGATATATTTCTTGTAATTTTAAGCCATGAAAATGTTCTTTGTCTTCTACTTGGCAGCATAATTTAACACTTACATTTATGATGATTTCACTTGTCTTTTATTTTGTAATGGATCTTGTGTTCATCCCTAAGTGGTACTATATAGCAATAGTCATCTAGTATGGATTAAAGATTATTATTAAGAATTCAGATTCTCTAGTACAGTTAAAACTGAAATTGTTAGATTACAGTACTCGCCCTGTTCATTAGAAACTGTATCGGAATTTTCCGAAAAAGAGCAAAACGGAAACAAAAGAAAGTGATTTTTTAAGACCATGTTGAATTCTACTTCATGAAAAACCGTTAACATCTTTCACATTCTCGCATACTACTTGTATAGCATAGAGAAAGTTGTATAATACTGCAACGAAAAAGGCGATTTTTTCAGGAGAAAAATCGTATTGAAGGACCCTGATCGAAGAAATGGATGATTCTTGTTCCTATTTGTAGTAAATTACTATCTCTAAGACGTTGAGAGTCAGAATCAGTGTTTTGTGGGTTCTTGAAAAATTGGTTTTCGTCAAAACGTCTGTCCTGTCAGTCGTACTTTTGTGAACAAATTGTAGCGGCTAAGCCGTGGGCGGCATTTTCACCAAAATTGATATTCAACTGATCTGGTAGGTGTATTGGTCTCTTGAATTTGAAACGTATTTAATCTGGGGGAGGGGGTATTTTACATGAAGCATCAGTGACCTAAAATTTTTCTCAGTAATCACTAAAATTATTTCTTTAACTTTTTTCTCAAATAGAGCGAAGCATTCGCTTGTAAAAACGGCATAGATCCGGTTTTCGGTTAAAGCTCATTTCGCTTAAATCGCAAAAAAATTGTTGGTTTCAGTTAGTGTTTAACAAAATTATTCGTTAAATACATGAAATAGTACATATGAATTTCAGTAGAAACTATTTTATTGTTAGCGACATTTGATTAATTTCATAGAGTCCTACCTTATAAATCAGAGTTGCCCAAATGGCGGCCGGCGGTACCATTTATTGTGGCAGTGTTATTTGTCAAACGTAAAAGTCCCTTGCATCCATATCGGGCGTGAACACTGTGCGTCTAACGAACACACCGCCTGTCGGGGTCAACATCCCCTTAACGTAAGAATAGGTTACGTTTAGATTTAAGGCATTTTTTGCTAGTATATTCAGAATTGGTTATGGTACGGCCTTTTAGCGCGCATGGTTCTTTTTCCTCGCCCCTCCCTCGCTTTCAGAGCTGCCGGTCAAACAATACGGGCTCTTGACTGGATCGCCCAAGTAATGAAAATTAGGCCCGCAACCATATTAGTGGGTTGTGGCCCTTGAGGCCCTACAAATTGGACACCCGTGTTATAAGTAATGACTATAATTAACTATTTAAGGCAAAATAACAAACAATTGAACATTTAATGAAATGTCAGACTGTACCGCGGCTTATAAAATTACAACGATTTTCTCGAGTTCAAATTTCTTTTTCTATTTTTTTACTATTTTTTCCCCATCATCGGGCCCTTTGACTTGCGAGGCCAGAGGTGATCGTCCTGTCTCCCCACGACCAGCGCCTTCACCGCCTACACTTACACTTACGTGCACAACACACCCACACATGTCGGGATCTTAAGAGCTGGGGGCAATAGGTGAAGGGGTAATGCCCCGCAAGACGTGTAGGTGTGCGCCGAATCTCACAATACGGCGTGGGAGGTACTCCGACCCATCCAGGCAAAACAACATTCGTTACACTAACGGGACTAAAGATCATAGCAGTTGAAGTGCCCGGAAACATAATTCAGTCAATCAATCAATCACACTATCAGAACATATTTTTTTGATTTGTGGTCGTATACCTTCTTTTATTTTAGCCATACTTTGTCTTGGACATTTTGCGAGAAAAAATCTAAAAGTAGATCCATCATTATCCAACGTTTTTACAAATTTTGTCACAAATCTTAATTTGATATGTAAACAACGAAGCAAAGTTTTATACAATGACTGCTGCACAACATTTTCCTCCCTACACTCAAGTTCTCTTGAAGAGGTTAGTCTTTGAAGAAGGAAATCGTATCTCGATTGTCACATCATAAAGAAAGCAATTGTACTTTGAATTTTCTATTTGAACAAATTTGTCAATAAAATAATGTAATTGATAATAATTTATGAATAAATATGTATCAGTAAATTACGTTTTACGAAAATAATTTATATTTTGGTCGATATCTCTTTCTTTGCGGAGGGGGGGTAGCCTATCAAAGGCCAAATAATCCCGATGTGTTCAAAAACGACTTCCATACTTTGGTTGAGTGACGCATTCCTACACTCGTATTTGCGGATTCCATTGGTCCTTGAAAATTTTTTAGAATGATGAATTAGAATATCATCATTTGCCTTAAATTATTGTTCAAGAGGCATTGGGCGATCTGTACGTGGAGATACTTTACATTTTCGGTAGATATTCCCACCGAAGAAGTTGGGAAATTGATTTATTCTTCGTTGGAAGATATTATTTAGTCTTCGAAAGTTCTAAATCTCTCATAAGATCACTCAGCTCACTTTTGAGTTACTTTGTGGGGATGATTGGAGAATGCTCGAAAAAATCCGTTAAATGTAACCCTGGAGGGAAATATCCCGTTTGAACAGGTTAAAAGAAGGAGGCATTTAGAAAACAATACACCCGAAACTATTTTTAATGCGATATTCGAAGTTAGGACTTTAAAAAAAGAAGTATTAATTTCAACCTAGAAACAAGTTGGCTGTTGACCAGTGTAATCGAAAACATTTTAAAATGCTTGATGTTACTCATTCGAAGTTTAAATAAATGTTCGTGATTCTGGTTCAGATCGAAAGAAGCTGGCGCATGAAGGAACAAATGGCAGCACGCAAGAGATTCGAACTCAATGAAAAGTTGAAGATGGGCCGAGAGGCTCAAATCGAAGACACAAGACGTATGAGGGCTTTAGAAATGGCGAGAGAAAAACAAGAGTACGAAAATGTTCTCAGGGCTCAACAAGAAGCTGCACTTAAGGAAGATGAGAAAGAGAAGAAGAGACAAAAGGTAAGTGAAAGTTCCCTGTAAGGCCAGCAATAAATTACTTTAAAAGTCGAAAAATGCATTAAATGTTATGTATATTTCAAAGAAATATTTAAATAAATTATTGTGGCAAAATAATGACAAATTAATATTCTTATAACAAACGTATCTAACATAATCTTACGTGTTACTAAAACAGGCGTTGGACAATCCGTTGGAAATTATAGCTCAGAACACTGCCTTATAGTATAATGTTACTGTACATTATTTTGAAAAAGTTTATAAGAGAAAATAGCAACCAGATTGCATATAACATTGAATTCAAACGTGTTACGAAAGATCTGTTTAACCATTCATTAGTGACTATAAAAATAAAAATTATGACAAATCTGGAACAAATGTGGCACTGTACCCAAAGTCAAACATGCATATCTCGTATCTAGTTATAATTATCAACTTTGTACTGCAATTATCTTGCATGTTTGTCAGAATTACTTTATCAGTCGAATAAAATTGATCATTACATACGGAATTCAAAATTATACTCATATTACTGTTACTCAGAATTGCAATAATTCTCAACTTTGTACGGCACTTTAATGTAAGTTCATCAGAATGATTTCAACAATCGAAACCAATTGATCATTATATACGGAATTCAAAGACGTATATGTATTAGTCATTTTACAAAACAATCTGTTAAGAGCGCATACATTTCTGCTTTGTAAAACTTACCACAATAAACGTAGTTTTTGGATGCAAACATTAGTAGTTTCAATGATTTACAGAATATGTATGGGTAAGATAACACTCGGGAATACGTTTTTACCTCCAGGAAGGTAGAGTGCGCGACAAACTCAATTTCATACGTAGATTACGAATATCACAATATCGTAGTGCGTCGCAGTTTTTAAATATACTTTATCTTCATCCCGTATTTTGCTATTAATGCAAATGCATTTAAAATGTACCTATCAGATATGTAGAATCAATAAGCATAAAATGTATTTGACTTTCATGATATAAACAAAATTAGGCTTTCGTGTTTTTATTTCCTTCTATATTCGAAGATTGCCGACTGTTAGTCGCACTCTATTCGTAATTGAGCGCGACTACCAGTCGGCAATCTTCAACTAAGGTTAAAAAAGGTCTTCGTAGATCTTTGTGGATGCTTTGAAAACAAGTCACGTGCAGCCTCGTATTTACTACTTCGCATCAGTCACCGAAAGGAGTTATTTTAGCCACTTACCTCATCGCAAGTATTCAAGTATCCAACTGCTGGGGTGGCAGATTCTGAGTCGGTCGGCGTCATGCGGATGTGTACTCGCAGTGCAGGTGAAGTTCGTGTCTGGTTTACGCGTGTCTCAAATACATTAATACATCACAGTTCCGTGTTCTTCATAAAGTGAAATCCGCCACATGATTTGTAGAATTGAATCGGTTCGATAAAATGCAAATCGTCATTTCACATCGAAAGTGTGCGAATCAACCCGAAAACTTAAGTTACGTTTGTGGAAGATTTACACCCAAACTTCAAAGGGAAAATTACATAAAATTACAAAACTTGAGTATTCTTGATACTTTGCTTGTCGTGTTTTTGATCAGGACAAACCATGGGTTACTCACCAGTGTTGTGTCACCTGTACAACGAACCTTAAATGTTGGTTGTATGGGAAACTCAAATCTTTGTCACTCCAATGTTGTGGAGAATACTAACAAACAATTTTAATGTCTGCGTATCATTGCACAAATATTAGTATTCCATTTTAAACAAGTTTTTACCTGATATGAAGCATGCTCATAAACTTTTCTAGTAATATAACCGGAGTGACAATGCGGAAATTAGTGTAGGATTTTATTTATTTCAAATACTAAATATGTTCATATATTTTGGACCTTGCGTGATAGTAACTTTGTATAACGACTTTCAAAATCAGCGTGATTGTTTCCTTTGAAATCACCCACCTTTAACTTGGAGGTATGGAAAAAATGTGTTCCCTAATGTAATTAACGTAAATTGGCGAATTAAACATTACTGCCATTTATAAATGACACATATTCTTAAAGTTCAAAGTATTTGTTTACAAAAAACAACATAAAAAACATGCAATTTTATGCAATTTTAAAACTTTTGTCAAATTATTTTTAAAAACTTACAGATTTAATGTAGTATGCAAAAAATATGTTCAAATACAAAAATAAAGTGTCAATTATTTTTTCGATGGATGTAATTCAACATTAAAATGAATTCTGTTTAGGAGAGTGAAATATATCTGAAGGCTCTGCTGAATCAAATTCGCGAAAAAGAACAAACAAAAATACGAGAGAGGCAGCAGGTACAGGAAGAAGGCATATTAATGCGACTTGAAGCTAATTGCCACGACCGCCAAATAAAAACAATAGTGCAAAAGAAAGTGAATCAGTTAAGGTAAATTGAAACAACATTTCAACAAACTATTGTAATGCAAACTTACTGGCTAAAACTGAAATTTATGTATTTTTTACAGAACTCAAGTTCCCGAAGTGTACGTGAAACAAGTTGAACGACAGTTGGAAAAACCCAACCTGTAACGATAAAAATTACCGAATCAAATATCTTCACCGGAAATAGGAGGAGCTGCAATAAATGATCTCAAAATAATCGAAAATTTACTTTATCAATGTATTTATTGCAGTAGTTCCGAGATGTTGGGTTAGGGTCTAAAAAAGAAGAAAAAATCCGTTTCGTTCATTAATTTGTTTTTTAAAAGATGTTCCTTATACTTCCAACATATAATACGTATTTAAATCATTCCCGTCTTGCAGAATAACTAAAAGCATGCCCACAAACGATTCACATAATGATTTAAACTTACAATCTTGAACATTTTCGAATTAGCACCACGGCTGGGAATTATTCAACTAGAACATGAGTGATATACTTATATATTTTAATACCTACCTATTTTTTAAATAAAATAAAAACAACATGAAAAGTAGTATACCTGTATTTCAATGCTTACTTAGTTCGTTCAGCATAGTTAAGGCAGTACGATTGTACTTGGAAGAATAGCTAGTCACGTGCATTCACGGTTTGCTTTTTGCTGTCACTTTACCTACAGTTTCAGTGTTTGGACAAGATCACATTTGCAATAATTTTAATTTTAGTAAACCGATATTGCATTAAAGATCGGCAGATAACTGTTTGAAATTACATGAGATAAAAATTTGTTTATTTGTACTTAGTAGGGCACTATGTTTCACTGTCTTATATTCACACGTTATGTTTTGCTCCATATTGCCAATTCTTAAATTTTTACTGTGTATTACTAGGAGAGATATTAACTCAATTTGTGAATTACGGTATTTTGAAATGTATTAAAGTTTGTAACATATGCATTTCTCTCTCTCTTATCTTGAAAAGAATTTACTTTTTCTTGTACTTTTTCAGTTTCATTTAATTTTACTTTGGAAGCAAACCCATGAAACAATATTATTAATAGATTTATTTACGAATCTTATGTAAGGTTGTGCCCAGAAGGGGTGAGATTTTTGAAATATATGTGTATGTCTTGTGTGATATATGGTGTGAAAATATTGATATTATTTTTTCAATGTGTGAACCTCATATAGTAAAATGTAGCAATTTTCCTTTACGATCAGTGTGCTGAAATCTGTAAGTATGAGATAAGTTGGGTCAATAAGTGTCTTTAGACAACCGTCATCAATAACAACAGGCCTGTCATGACGGGTCTATTTACGCGTACACAATTTCCTTAGATTTGGAGCTTCTGCTCGTTTCTTGCCACCCATGCATGGTAAAGAATGGGGGTACCCAGATGAGCTTAAAAAATGTAACAGAAGATTCATTTTCTAGTATAATGAAATTAACTCGGCTTCTCTCCGCATATTTCCCTGTATGTTTCTCACACGTTAATCTGGAAATTCAAATATTTTAATTACAGTGTGTTTTATTACGATATATATATATATATATATATATAGAGAGAGAGAGAGAGAGAGAGAGAGAGAGACAGACAGAGAGAGAGAGATAGGTCTCCGTTTTTCCGTGACCCTCTGTCACCGTGTCTGTTTCTCTCTCTCTCTCTCTCTCTCTCTCTCTCTCTGGGTTTCTCTTGCCTCTATCTCTGTCTTCCATCGTTTCTCTCTTTATCTATTTCTCTCTCTCTCTTATTTTCTTAAATATACCAACGACCAATGGACATTGGTATATTTAAAAGCGGCCACACCGTGTGACCGATCTCCATGAAAGTTGGCACGTCTACGAGCTTTTTTACCTAGATGCTTTTGGTGCTGTTAATTTTGTTGTAACTTTAATAAATGGCGCTGCAGAACAAATTTGCGCTTCATTTTAATTCAATTTCCATTCAAACTGCAATCCACACGAGATTCGTTGTTGCGTTGCCGTGTGACGCAAGGCGTGGCCCAGGAGAACTGGATGGGCGAGCGTGACAGTGAGACAGAGGGAAAGAGACGGAGAGCGACGGAAAGATGCAGAGAGGGATGGAGACAGAGCGCGTAAGTGATAGAGTGAAAGACAGAAATAGATAGAGAGAGAGAGAGAAAGATACTGAGAGGCAGTGTGAATGATACAGAGACAGGCAGAGGTTAGACATAGACGCAGAGAGGGAAACGATGGAAGACAGAGAAAGAGATAGAGGCAGAGAGACAGACAGACACGGTGACAGAGGGTCACGGAAAAACCGAGACAGAGAGAGGGAGAGAGAGAGAGTCAAACAGAGGCAGACAGACAAATGAGACAGAAAGAGATGCAGAGAGAGAGACACAGAGGGATAGAGAAAGAGAGGGAGAGAGACAGACAATGAGAGACATAGAGACTTCTTTTTTCACAAGGATTGTATACGAAAAAAACGGGTAACACTGGGTATTTTGTTGTATAAACGTTACTGTGGCAGATAAACGTTCCAGTGGCTCTGGTGGAAGAAACGGAAGTTTCTGAATAGCTAGAGAACTCAGAAGATCGGATACTTCAAAAAATGTAATAGAAGGATTCAAACAATTTATCGCAAAAAGTCGCATTCTAAACAAAAAATTTAAAAAATTGAATCAATGTCGTTAAAATGAAAATAGCTTCACACGACAACAGAACTTCCACAACATTCACTCACAACAAAAGTTTACTTCGGAAAAATTACTATCTCGTAATGTTCTTCACCATCTGAACGGCTTCGCTGCTTCCGTGAGAAAGAGAATTTGTTTCTCCTAGCTTGACCTAAATTTTCAACGCCCTCCCCACATCAGTCCCAAATTAATACCACCAGGCTGAGCCCTCCCGCGATAATACTAATCGTTTCTAGCATCTAGCGAGGCACGCCTATATGCTTATTAGTCTGCTATGCTGCGAGTATTCCTCTGTTACACCCATGTGACATTCGGATATGTCACAAAACAAATTGCTGAAAATAAGGATATTAACCGTAAGAGATATTTAAAAAGATACATTTGCGTAATTTTAAAAGAACAAAAGAATACAACAAAATGGGTTTCATGTCATCTTATATAGCGCATTTAGCACTTCCGTACAAATAGTTTGAAGAAAAAATTTTGAGTCGTTTTTTGAGAAAATGGCGTTGGAGCGTTTCTGAACTTTGAGCTCGTTTTCATTGAAAACTTTTGAATTTTTGGAAAAAATGTATAAGACATGAAAGCAAATGTACTCATAAATGCGATAATGTACACAAATCGTCACTAATGTAAATATTAACGACGTGAGAGATAGATACAAAAATACATTTTTGAAGAAAAAAATAGCAAAATTGCGTTTGTCATCTTACACAGTACATTTAGCACTATCCCGACCACAAGGTTTAAGAAAAAATTAGAGCCCTTATTGAGAAATGCGTGTTTTTGTTATTTTTATTATTGCATATATTTCACGCAATATTGAGCGAAAACTACTAAAATTGTCCAAAAATGCACATGACGTTATTAAAAGAACGAATTAAGTAATATAAATTTCGTTTGAAGGAAAAATCTGTATCTTCAATTTTTGTAATTGTAGGAAGGCGCCCAAAATTTTAAACCTTTGCAAACCAACGCATATACGCCACCTTTATAAGAGTATTTCACTCTATTCTTACAAGAAATTTAATGAAAAAAATTGGAGCCATTTTTGTAAAAAAAAATTGAAAATATCACAGGGGCTTTATACAAAGTATCCCCAAAAATTAACGTTTTTCAAAATCTTCGACCATTGAGTGAGGCCATGATCGACATAGTTATCCTTAAGTCCTTAAAGATTGAGAGGGACGGTTTATATTCATTTTTTGGTGTTTATCGTTGTATGTATGTTTATTTCTAGATTATCGTTTATTCAAAATCAAATTTTATGTTTTTTATGAGTTAAGAATTGTCATTACTCTGCTGTAGCAAGGGTTGGTGGTACTGAATGCTTTGTTTGTGATCAAACAGAAGAATGCTTTTTTTTCTGTTAATGCAAGCTGATTGAGAAAAATTATTCGGAAATTTCGAAGTATCATCAAATATTTTATAGCCAGATGATATTTGGAGTAAGTAGAAGCATCAAACTGTAATTTGATGCCTTTTAAGTCTGTAACCACTTATGAGAAAGCTTTTAATTTATTTTGTGATTGGCGGACGAAAAGGAATGTTAGAGGCATTGACAAAGAGACAATACATTTTTGCAAGATCAAAAACATAAAAACCAACCAGTCTCTGGTCATTCTTCAGTATACTAAAAAATGTATAAAAATACATGAGAAAACTGATGTACCCACGTAAGTTATTCATTCCATATAATTATAATCATAGTAAATAGTGAAGACTATTTCTTTTAATTTATTTGAATATTTGTTTACATTTATTCTAAAAAATTGTGTTTTATGTCAACGTCATATTTATCCCATAATTTATGAACACTGATAAAATGTAAATTAGAAGGTCCGCTAAAATATTTTTAATGGACTCTCGAGCATTTTAATGGCCGTTGCAATGGACGCGCTCTTAAAGCGTTGTTTAGATGGTTCGTTGCTAAGGGGTTAAATGCGTGTTTACCAACTCAAATAACAAAAAAGGTATGGGTAGTATTAAAAAATAGTAGAAAGATTTTATCAAATCTGTAAAATACACTGTCTCTGATGACAAAAACCAGTTCGCAGTATTTTTTCGTGTTTTTTCCTTCAGAAATTACACAAGTGTAATTTTTTATAACTCTCTTATTCATCAACACATTACCGGCGATCTGTTTTCCTTATATTTTTGAGCAGAAGTGCTTCAAATGATATCTTACAAAGTTTCTTAGAAACTATAACGTTTTCTCTAAAAGTAAGCTTAAAATTCTTCATTTTCAAAAACGTTCGAATTTGTTAATTAAATTTGGTTTCCTTTAATTATGTCAATTGCAGGTCTCAATCATTTGAAGATTTTCGGAACAGAATGCTTACGTGCACACCAACAAGAACTTCCGCTCTAGGTTTGACGATAGAGCTGTTCATAGACATCTGGTTGAATAAGTGAACGACAGGGATAGATTCAGGGTCTGCATTCCGACTCAAAGAAAGATAAGCCTGAGCCACGATGCGAGATTAAATCCTGAAGTTGTCTGTAAGGTGCGCGTTAATACCGACGAGCTTGAAGATTAATGCGAACAATTCGCATCATCCGATGTACAAAAGCCAGAAGAAATCAACGACGATGAAACGGAAGAAGAATGGAGTGAAGCTGAAGAAGTTGCACCAGGGTCCAGCTCCGGAGGAAATGATGTTCCAGCTGAAGATGATGCCAAAGAGGAGATAACAAGGAAAGAAAAAAAGTAAATCGAAGAAACCATTGTGAATGACCAGCGGAGATTTTGTGTACATGACCAGATCGATCACTGAAATAAGAATCCAAATTCCTTCACTGAAGTGCTGCAGTTTTCTGGCAGAGGAGACACTTAAAGAAGAATTGGATTCTTTAGGGAAAATGATACCTGGTTGTTGGTCGAACGTCCAAAAGATGTACAAATCTAGAAGAATAGCTGGTTTTTTTGCCAGAGACTATTGGACAGGGGAAAAACCGCTTCAAGACCCTGAGACATTTTCAAAATTTTCTCAAAAAACCGCTCCTATTTTTTCTTTAAATTTCTTGTAAGAATAGACTTACAAAAATAATACACACATAAAATTGGCATAGGTCCAACTTTCACGGTTAACTTTTGAATTTCCGAAAATTTCAAATAGTCATTCTAAGTCACATAATCATTCCAAGTCAATGATCGGATCAGTCGGACCAGAGGACTCAGTCCATTCCATTAGCGTTATGCGATAAGTAACTTGGGGCCATGGGTCCTTGGGGTCTGCGCCTCACTTGAACCACACCATCAGCTCTTACCAACTAAAGACGGGACTCATCTGACCAAGTCACAATTTTCCAGGCGTCTTAAGGGTCCAATCTATATGATTAAGAGCTCAGTAGAGACGCTGCAGGCGATGTCGTGCACCCAAAGAAGTCTTATGGTTCTACAGCAGACTCTATTAAAGCCAAATTTCGCCGCACTGTCCTAACGGATTGTATTTGATTATAACGGAGTATTTTGATTGATTGATTGTTAGTTATTCCGAGCGGGTCAACTACCAGGGGCATTAGTCTCGTAAGTGTAGTGCATGCTTTTGCACGGAAGGTGGCTGTCTCCCCCCCCACTGTATGACGAGATCCGCCGCCGACCTACCCTCGGCTAGTGGGGGCTTCCCCAACCAGGTATTACCACCCGCAGCGCTCCGCCCCAGCCGAGACAAGCTCTAAGCTCCGAACAGGTCTCCCAGCATGTGTGCTTGTGTAGTGTGTGTAGGGGGTCAGAATAGAACAAGGAAGAGAAAAGAAATATAGCGCGCAGTCTGTGGCCTGTTTGTTTGGGTACTGCTCCGGTATTCGCTTGCTTTTGATCACAAAACCGCGGAAAACTACCGATCAGAGAAGTCGGCAGCTAGAATTCTCCTCCAGACAGCGACTGAATTTGTGGCGTCTTTGCCGGGGCAATAAATCACAGACGTAAAGGTTGTAATTTAAGTTTTTTTTGAAGAATTAATGCTCAACCCTGAATCATGTAGAATACTTTACTAATAACAATAATTGACCGTTACTAGAATGATGTTCCATGGTTTACCACCACGCTGGCCTGATAATTAAATATCATAATTCGGTGTGATGCACGTAGCCTACGTGAGCATACACGCAGTATACCGCACTCCGTCGGACGTAGCACGCGGCTTCAGTCCCCTGCCTCAGTAGCCTATGCTTTAAAATGCAGCGCCGCGGCCAACCCAAACGCTTCTATCGACGGCGCCCAAGAATCAGAAGAAAGAGTTTAGGTCCGGGTCTCGTTTATATACCTTCTGGGAGCTGACGGAACTGCGTCATCTCGTGTTTCCGCCAACGCGTTTCCGCCGCCTACGGGGTTCCCAAGTTTGCCACGCACGACACGCATCTTCCTCGCTCCCAGGTTTGCCTTTGTTCAGCCCAGGTCTCTTCCCGCGAGCTGTCCATGAAATGCACGTGGCTGATATTTGGTACGTTTGTACAAGGCGACTGATATGACGCCACAAATTCGACCTAGTTGACAAACTAGTGCCAAACATCTTGCTTCCTTCAGGACTCGAACCTAGAACCTGTCGGTCAGAGGGACTACAATGACATCAGTTGATACCCTGAGCCATCTCTCCTGGTAGGGGTATTTTGATTTTTTAAATCGAAAAAAGACAATGACGTATTTTCACAATCGAGTTTTGCCTTCTATGACCTTCCATGACCTATTAACCCATTAATGCCTTCTATGACCTGGCAGTGACCTTGAAAAATGTCCTTTGCGGTCCAGTTTTTCTGTTGTTGGCGTAAGTAGTGTTAATAATATATTAGGCGAAACTTTATGAATAGTTTTAGCTTGAACGTTTTTGCAGGAAAAATTTATTGAAATCGTTAAAAAATTGAACTATTTTAAAATAAAAAATACGTTTCAAAAAGTCCATTTTTTATTTTTTTATCATGTGAAATCCGAAAATAAAATTTTTTGCATGATTTCCTAACTTTCCATATTTTGTTGACCGTTTTGACAAAGAATATCCCTATTATAAATGTATGATATATTTAAAAATATAGACATTACTCATGCATTTTTCAAATTAAAACTAGTGGTAAAATATGCATACCAGCCCTGAGGAAGACCACGACAAGATGGTCGAAAAGTCGGCAACACAGCCTTCGACGAGGCGTCTCCCGGACAGCCCAGATCACGCACATAACTCTGGGCGCGGAAGCCTACGACTTCATTTAGTGGTAAAATGAAAATCAGATTAAAACTAGTGGTTCGGAATAAAAACAACTGTACATACTTTCTCGCACTATTTCTAAATTTGCATATTTTCGAAAAAAACAACATTTTTTCCAAAAAAATATGTACATGGCCTTTTTTAAAGAGCTGATATTTTAAAACAGATTTTGTGAAAGGTACTCTTCAACTTTATAACTTCGTTTTGAAGTATGAACCTTTTAGAATTTTGGAAAATACATATTTCGCTGGAAATGAGACAAGAATTTTTTTTACCGTCCTTTTATACATATGAAGAGAAAATGTACAGAAACAGTTTTGGGCTGATTTTAAAAAAATTAAAAATTGTCTTTATTTTACACAAAATTACGTGAAAACTACAAATATTTTCGAAAATCGGTACATGACCTTCTTTCAAGATATCTTAAAAGCCTTGAAGGAAGGGGAAAACCTCCAACAAAGAAAAATATAAAAGCATTAAAAGAAAATCACATATACCGTATTTTAACCATTAGTCCTCGGCTTCCAATACTTAATGTCTTGCCACCAAGAGGCAGTAAGTGCTGCAGTCCTACCAGTCCTCAAAGTCGTTTTGGATATCGTTATGGCACGGAATAGTAAATTTCCCGACACAACACCTACGACATCTGTGTATGTCACTGCAACAACTTACATACTATATACTATTTAAACATAAACGCACTTGAAGGTCCCTAGCCCGTCGGAGAGATAGCACTGTCATCTAATTGGGAGCTTCGGTACGTCTTCAATTTTTTAAATTGGAGCTCCCGATTGAATGGTAGTGCTTCCTCCTCCTTCCAGCTTTTGATTTTCTAGTGCCACTACGTTTAAATAAGAGAATACTTATATTCACTGCTAAAATGGCGCTAAACATGGCAAGAGTGTGGTGTAGATGTTCTAGTTATTGTATAAAGAAAAACAACTTTCCAAGCGTTGGGGTTAATTTTTTTCACTTAAGCAGATCTGTAGCGGGTTTGTTGATTCCTACCTTAAAATTATAATTTTACCCGATTATTTTCGAATTATTTCTGTATGAAATGTTTTGCAGGTTATGAGCGTGATCCGGCCCCATTATTTTTCAGTCCAGATGTTCAACGAATAATGAGAAAAATGACTAAAGTAGATGTTAAAAAAGTTTTTAGAAGCAGAAAGTTGGGAGAGAAACTCGATGCCCCTGAATATAAGTTTTTGACAAGTGAGGAACTGGAGCAGGTATTTGATATGTAAAGAATTTATCTTCTGAACTACTTAATTTATTTGTACATTCTGTGTTGTAAATTTAATTGTAACACTCACAACATGACGTAATAATTGTTTCCAGTACATGAAGGAAACAGAAAAGAAAGTAGAAGAAAGACTGCAGGTGCCACCAATAGTAAAGGAACGAGAAGAAATTAATGAAGTTCTCAGTGTTGACCGTGCCCTTACAGGTTATGACAGTGCAAAATTTGTGTTCACAGACATTACCTTTGGTGTTCCTAACAAGGTATACTATACTCTGAATACTAACCAATATTTCTCATTCTACTGGTGTTTATGAACTCGCTTTTAATAGATATCTGAAAGATTTTACATGGTGACTTGTTCAATTTGTGAACATTTCACAAATATTGTGTGAATTAAACTGAACTAAAACTTAGTTTTGTTTCTAGGATCGGGTTATAGTCGTGAGAGAACCTGATGGTACCCTTCGTAAAGCATTTTGGAATGAGCGTTTTCGAATGAATCAAATATATTTTCCTGAACCGGATAGGCAGTTACGGACACCACACATGTTTGAGGAACCATATTTAACGGTAAAGTTACTGGAGAAAAAAATCTTGCTATGGACTTTCATTACTTGTATTTCTTTACTAATTTACTTGTTACATGCATTACGTCCTTGTTAACAGAATGTTCTTGACAGAGGAGAGTATGAATTTGTTTTGGATAGAGCATGTGTTCAGTATGAACCCAATGACCCGGAATACTATCGCATTACGTCAACAACATATGACCACATTGAGAAAGAACAAATGTTTGATGCTCTTCAATCCACAAGGCATTTTGGGGCTTTAGCGTTTTATCTTTGTTGGAATAAACAAATTGATAATTTCGTCTTGTATTATATACAAAATGACCGGTAAGCATACTTTTATTTTTCAAAATATAAACATTTTGTTTGAGTTATTGGAATGAATGAGTCCTCCAGTGTCAAAAGACATATTAAAGGGGAGAATTTGGCTTAGTGTGATTGCTTTTTTTATTTTTATTATTATTATTTCTCATCTATGTTACAAACCTTTATTAGGCTTGTACTATAGACAAATGAGCTCAAAAATTCCACTAGTTAGCACCAATGTGCTTGGAGAGACGGCAGGGGAATTTGAAAACAAAAAATTAAATTTTATGTTATTGGCTATTTCTGTGATCTTAAGCTATACTAAATATGGTTTAAATGTTAGTACTTAGTGTTATTTTGAGATATTTGTAGAGTTAAAACAGAGAGACTATGAAATTGTTTGGTGTAAAGCTAAGAGATCTGTATTTAAAGATGGAAGTCATTTCAATTTAAGTAGTAATCTACATCAAATTTCATTGGTTTTCTCACCATTTCAGAAAAAAATAATTTTATATTGATTCCCAGATGTTTTGGTTGGTCAAAAATGTTTTGTGTATTTTATTCTCTTTGGTTCGCAAATGGTAGCCAGTTTTGTATTTAACTGCCTACCAATTATCACATTTGTCTATCTTGAGGATTACCTTGTGGGAATTTAGAAAACAGTAATGTATGAAACTTCTTTGTGCTTGGCACGTGAGACATATGATAAGGCTAACCGTGATTTCCTAATGATACGCAATAGCAGCAGCTTTTCCAGTTACATGATCTTTCTTTGCCACAATCTGAGAATGAATAAATAAATAAATAAATAAAGAGATACACCTAAGTGCTTCTGTAATGTGTTTATGACACTTAGCATAATTTCACATCATTAAATGTATCCAGAATGTATAGGTATCAGGCTCAAAAATATCAAACTTATTTAACAGAAAACGAGTATTTGCTTTAGGTTGCCTGGAAAAGATAATGCGGCATTCACTTGGAAAGGACAGCAATGTGCTCTGTCGATGCCTAACTATCAAGCACGAAGAAGAATGGTTGAACACATGGGTCAACTCAACCATGTCAAATCATGTCATGTCAAACCCTGTCAAATCAGCCAAAATTTCCCGATCATCTTCTGATTGGACTGAAACTTTATAAACTTATTATAAGTAGTTAATTAATAAGAAACAATAAAATATTATTTCCCTAAAATCACAATAATTTGTCCTTAGAGTAAATGCTGAGAGTGACTGCTATTTGCCAAGAGAAAGGCATTTACTCTTTTCAGTGTAATAGTTGCAACACGTTGAAGAGTAATAAGAACAGAAAAAAAGCTCTCTCTCTCTCTTCCAACTAAAATTGGACTCATTCTCCCAGCTCGAAATCTGAGGGCACTTGGCCTGCTTTCACTAAAAGCGAAAAGGATGCCAAAGGTATTTTACGTGTTGCCAAATCGTCTGGATGCTGTTCCCGGACATGGGTTGCGAGTTAAAGTAAAGACCTGGTAGATGGCATTTGGGTTTATGTAAACTACCTGACCCATTACTTTTCCCCTCCATACCAAATCAATTTGAGTTATCAATCCCCCCTCTCCAACAATACTTTTTAATGAAGGGGGTTGTAAATTTCATGAATAAAATGTAAATTATACTATTCCAGGATAGAAGATGCAGTGATGTTAATTCAGTTGTTCCATCTACTGAATCCTGAGAGCAAGTCTGCAGAAACAGATAGTAAAGATGCTCTTAAATTTATTCAGGTTAGTCAAAATAAGTTTACGTAAAGCTCTATTTGTTGACTTATGGATAAAGGAAATTCAATCTGTAATCTCTCTTACAGGCCTATATATCAAAGGACTCCACCAGAAAAAGTGTTCTTGAAATTGCATTGCAGTCATTCTTGGAACTTCAGAAACAACGTCAATTTGTGGAGGAAGGAATCAAGAAAGCTCATGGAATGTAACACGAGGGATTTACTTTACTTCAATGTTACTTCACATTATGAATTAGGATGATGTATGAAGATCATAACGAACTTTGAAAGAATTACCTGTGTTTGTCACTCCCTCTAAAAGTGAAAGTATAGTTTATTAGTATTGAGATGAACCTTGTAGCGATTGCCTTTGAGCAAGTGTAATTGATGCATGTTCATTGTGAATGGTGAACAATATTTCTAAGATAAAAAATTTAAAAGACGAAATAGTACTTTTATTCTAGGATTCAATTAATTGTTAATTTTGTATTATATGTTCTGTATTTTGAATTGTTGAATACATGTCATATTAATTTGTTACACATTGATGATGTGTTTTCATTGGTACTTTCAAATTAAAAATTTGTGCATTGTGCACACTCTGATTTAAATGAGGGGAATGCAGAAAGGAATCCTGTATAAGATTAATAAAAATAGTCGTTTAGTGTATATTTTACATTTAAATTTCATAATACAAAATGGAATTCATATTCACATAGTAAAGAAATAATCGTAAACCTTCCCTAAGGTGTATTGACCTTAGATTGCAGTATGACAAATAGCCCAATTTCAGCTCTATGTCACATGGCAAGAATAGTTTTGAGCTTCGAAAGCACTGAATAAAATTTAATCATTCACTAATTACGATAGTCATTTTTGCTGCACAGATTGCAATGCCTAGATGAACTCAAAGGAAATGATAATGGAAAGGAAGCTTTTCTGGAAAAGCTTACTTAAGTAAGTATATCACAAATATGTTAACAGAACAAGGCATACAAGCAAATACATGTTAATTGCTATAGATAATCAATGGTGACACTCCTCCCTTCAGACAGACTTGCAATATATAGCTAGATGTGTTGAGTTGAGGCATTTCGTATGACACCGGAGCAAATTATATACCCCAAGAGAACACAATTTCAAGTGTCATAAGAAGTGCTGCATATGTCACAGATACAAATTATTCGATAATACATGATGATTCCAGAGAATGAGGAGCTGCCATGTGTCAAAATTAGATTGCATACGAAGTGGAGAAATCCAACAATGGATGAATGTAGAAGGATTCTTCTTTAACATGGTTGAAGCCAAGTAATTGCATAGGTATGATCGTATCCAACATATGGATCACAATAAGGTAGCAAAGAAAGTGGGGTCATGGACATCTACAACAAAGAATGGTTTAGAGGTGGTGTCTGAAATAGATACAACCACCTTTGTTAGACAAGGAGGGGTAATTTTGAGTAATGTCCGAGAAAGAGACAGATAGCTCAATTTAATTCGGTACTGCAATCTAAGCCTGCTACCTTAGACGCTCCTTAGAACAGACATTATTAACAAATACATTTGGAAGGTTCATTACTCTGTAAAAATTGCCATTATTCCAATTACATAAGACCACAACAATTATGAAGATTTCTATTTTCAATTATGTAACTGAAAATAATATGCCATGATCACACAATTGGAATCTCATGTACACAAAGAAAGAAATAATTCATTGTTCACTTGTCAATTTTTCAAGACACCAATAAGACAAAGGTTAATGCTTCTAAATTTGCACAAAGAACTTCACATACAGCAAAACAGATTCAGAATAAATGTATAAAGTCACTGTACTTTTCAAGAAATATTTAGTCTAATGTTTTTTTAAAAGAACATGTCTATGAAACAATATTTCATAATCATCTTTCGTAATCTTGTTGATAACCAACTTTGCGAACAAGAAAAAAAAAATGCAATATGAGTATATTATTTATAGGGAACAGAATTGATAGTAATAGAAAAAAGGAAAATATATATTTATATACTGAATGAATTTTTTTTTAAGGTCCGATAATATAAAATATGCAAAAAAAAATTTCATTGTATTGTTTCAAATTTTCTAACATAAAACATCACAGATCAGACTTTAAAAGGGATTGTCAATAACTGAATGAACTTTCTATTTCTACAAAAGTAATTGGAAACTAGGTTTCACCCTACAATACGGGTTTGATACGACAATAAAACGTGTAAGTAGTAGCCTATGCATACCTTAGTTCATGAGGAGTCTGTGCACAGACAGGGACCGAGGCACAAAATCTAAGACATTAATTCAGCCCAATTTATAGAAAACACACTTAAATATCGCATCACATTCCAAATGAATGTACAGAGTACCCATTATGCCTATGTAGACAGGATTTGGTGAAGATGCTCCAAATTCTCCACCACTGGCACAGGTGTATAGGTTTCTCGGTGGGGAACAGGAAGCACAACAAGGCAATGGCCTATAACTTATGTTAATCAAGTTATGAGTAAGATCTATGACACATGAGCAAGCGCATGGTTGTAATTTTTACTTTGCATATGTTCATTCATCCTTGATTCCAAGTATGCGATTTCTGAGGAGGAGTTAAGTCTGACAATTCCTGGTGAAGGTGCAGATGTCACTGAAGCACACTATTACATTGCTTTTTTTCAAAAGATTGTTACAGAAACATACAGAGGCATACTTGTATCAGAGATGTTTCCTTTCAACTTTAAATATATTATTAGTGGCCAACAGTTGCAAAACTGCTGCTGAACTGTCACACAAAATGGATTCTCCAAAAAGTAGCACATTCACTGTTTAAGAACAAATACAATAACGTAAACATAAAGCCCTGCACATTAAAATATTGAATAAATTAAATATTTTCACAACGATATTCACAGGTACTGTAGTAAATAGTACAGAAAATCTATCGAAAAAAAGCTAAAAAGAAAGAAGTTGCTTTTGCTCTCCAAAATGTAAATAACAAATATTTAAGGGAGAAATTTCCCTGATAGTTTGCTGTCACATGACATCAGCCATGTCATAAGCAATGAGAAATTGATTATAAGAATAGTGGAATAACATAAATTATAGAATTATTGCATTTTTCAGTCAAAATCAAAACTTTCATTGTTTTTTGGATTTTGCTGAGTTACCTCTCACAGAGTCAGATGCTGCATAGTTTTCTTTCAATTTTATTCATGCATGGGAAATTAGTAATATAGATGTAATGAATATGTAACATAATACACAAGGCTCTGTACTACGTGTATACAATATAATACGAATAGATAAAATTTGAAGACCTGTATTTTTACTAAAATTATCATCAACTGTACATGTTTAGGCTTAACAGCCTGTTTTATTTTTATGAAAATTTATAAAATATTTTTAATTTATTTACAGTCTTGTAAACCAAAAACAAATTATTCGATTCATGCATCCTACACCTGTAAAAATACTATATATTTACATGAAAATTTGTTCTCTAATTACAAATAATATACTAAATATTTTTATATATTCTTGAAATATCATTTTATAAGTTACAAATTACACTAAGTTTATGATAATAAGGAAATCTTAGGTTTGTTCTGTATTTAATTATGATTATCATGTTATGTTAAATTGATCATTTGTTTCATCAAATTACAGTTTGTTGAAATTCAGCAGCATAAAATGTATGTGGAATTAATGGCTGAAGTTCACTAATGGGGAATCTATGCGGCTTTCATACATAATTTTGCCAAAAAAAATGTCCATTACGTTTTGGCACAACAAAGGCAATGGATCAGATGAAGTTAGTAGAAATTGTGCAAAATGAAAAGACATGTTTAGTGCCAGGAACAAAAGCTTGTTCCGTTTAATAGCCTGTTTTTGATACACATGATGTTTTATGTAAATCATAACAGCTACAGTACCTGGATACACTAAGGGATTTTTTATGTTAATTATGCATATGCCAGAGGTTGGAGTGTCATCATAAAATACTTCACATTAGCGAAGCATAATTGCACCTTACAGGTAATTAAAGTTTGATCTGTAAATACTACGCCTTTACATTTGTTGTACATGCTTACAAAAATACACAAGTTCTGTTATGCTGCCAATACCACAATCCATATTTCACATTTAAAATCCTAGAATTTGGTTCTGCGACAGAAATGCAAAAACGGCTCCATTTGCGGTAAGTAAACAGCCATCTAATTAATCATGATGATTAAAAAATTGTAATTGTAATGGTACAAATAGGTGTAAAAGCTCTCATCAATATAAATAGATACATGTATGTAATATGGCTGACTAGATTACATAAAAAGGAAGAAATTTTAAAGAAATGAGTGTCATATGTTCTTCATTTCTTGTTTTATGGAATACAATTAAAGTTCAAATGTCTTCAATCATAGCTTGATCTTTTAACAGCTAATGAGAGCAATCAAGTTCAGTGACATTGTGAGATGGAAGACAAGGTAAGGAAATTCTGCTTATCCATTGCAGCAGACACCCACATGACAAGCATCCTTAAACAAAAAGCAAATTACACCAACTGTTGGGATAGACACGTCTTTCCCACCCACAGCCTTAGCACTGCACTGTGATTCATCATTTACTTGAATGTTTTGAGAGGAAGTGTGTTATACTTAAACTTTTTTAAATAAATAATTTGCCAGCAAGTAAACCAATTAATTTTTGTGGTATTAATTCATTCTTTAACAACAAATGTAGGACTACGCTAGGGATGCACATTTTTTACAATACTATTTAAGTTATTCATGAACAACATGAAGAAGGAACCTGGACGGAGGAAATAGAAGGAGGCATAACTCAGAAAAAGGACTAGAAAATAAAAACAATATTACATGCAGACAACCAAGCAATACTAGCAACATCTGAATTACAAAGGCCAACTCATAAATTAAATAAACTCACAAAGGAATATAAAATGAAAATATCAGTCAAAGACAAAGTCCATGGGATTAAAAGGCAAAGAATATAAAAGAACAAAAATACTCATAGAAAATAAGACAACAGAACAAGTGTCAATGTTCATGTATCATCACACACATAAGTGTCAACATTCACATAAGATATCATTAATAGAGGAAGATATGGAATCAAAATAGTACAACAAAATAAATGGATGCATCAAGAGACACTACCAAAATATGGACACTGAGACAAAAATTAGATTACATAATATTGTTGCAAACCCACACTATTGAAAGTAATGAAACATCGATACGGAAGCGAAAAGAAATGAAACAGCACAAATGAAATAACCGAGATCAATTTTAAAAGTTTCCAGCAGAGATAAGATAAGAAATGAAAAGATCCAGAAAACACTTCAAGTCAAAAATATTGTCTCAGAAATTGAAAACTACCAAAAGAAATGGTAAAAACACACCAAAAGAATGAAGATAAAACATTTCCCAAGAAAATTTTCCAGATACAAACCAAGAGGAAGAAGACGAAGAATACGCTGGGAAGATCAAGAACACCTTGGAAGAGACTCAGGGAATAATGATAAACCACTGAACAGGTCAACAGACCTAAACCTTAATCATAGCCTACATGATGATTTCATTCTTATCTACAAGTCTGATTCCTCAAAAAATTCCTCCCATCTACCTGCTGTCTCACAATGTCACATATCAAGTCATGAAAGCACAGACAACACGTTTCACAAATTTCAAGGAGAAAATAAAGATTTTCCATGTTCCACCAGAGAAATAATTACACATATTTTTTTTTTGTTTTCGGACCGATTAATACAACCCTTACACTGGGATTCCATAAACATAGAAGCACAATTTTCATTATTTAGTGTGTATACTACAGAAGGCATTAGGTTTTTGCAATTTATACCTTTAGGGTTTGTCCATAAATTACATAACGTTAAAGAGAGGGTGGGGGTTTGAGGCATTGTTATGCTGCATTACATAAGGATGTTAGTTTGGTTTTATACAACACTTGTAGTAGTTGTTTTTTTCAACATTTGCAGAAAGAGTTCCTTTAATTCAGCTTTAAACTAGAATATTAAAATATTAACATGCATTAAATTATAAAATATAAATAAATTAAAAATTATGATGCATAAATTGTTACAGTAAATGGAAATATATTTTCATCAATGATATATTGACAAACTGTTATATTATGAAGAAAATATTCAAAACTGATCTATAGAATATTCTAGAAACCAATTAAATTGATGCAATAGACTTAGGGCTCATAAGTCATCCATGATGGCATGTGCACAACTTGTCAGAAAATTTCTTACATACGTGTCCTTCCTTCATTCAAAAATTGTTCCGATCTTTTTGTTAGGTGCAGTTCGCATCACCATTAATTCTGACTTAAATGATTATAAATTTTAATATGTAACAAAAAAAAAAAATATATTGGGAAGGGGCGTTACATAATTAATTCATGGGGTTCAAGCATGCCTTACAGGAGGGACCCTGGGTATTCAAAATACTCCAAATTTGCATTATATAATTTATGGGCAGCCCCTAAACACTGTTACTGATAATGAATAAAACTTGTGGTACTACAATAGTATGCACTTTCTCGCAATATTTGTAATGCTAATGATTTATAATTTTGTACAGTAGAGAAATTTTATTCTTTATTCATGTTTTGTAGTCAGGTGTGACCACATCTTCAGTTGCAAGTGTTCTGGACGCGAAACACAACCATGAGTTTACGGTAAATTATACACAAAAAACACTTTTACCTCATAGACATTAAATAATGAAAAAGATGTTACACTGATGTGCAACATCGTGTAACAATATTCACTATTAGTCGAATTTAGTGTGTGTTACCTTCTACATACAAGAGCAAGAGTTATTCTCATTTTCATTATCCACATCAGCGTTCTGTCAAAATATTGATGTTTTATTGGCAATGAATACAATACTTTCTCTTCACTACATAAGTAGTATGTAAGATTTTATTCGCAATGCACACAACACTTTCTCTTCATTAAATAAATAGTATGTAAGAAAGTAAAAAGTTTTTGGTCATTACAGGGCAAGCGAGTCCACTGGATCAAGGTCATGCAAAATCTGGAATAATATTTTATTTTGTGTTGCTGCTTTCATGGATGGCGATTGTTAGGGTGCACATAAGTACCACCAAGCACAAAGACAAAAAAAAAGTATTATACAAATATTTATATTTTACACGTTAAATATTGAAAATTGTGCTTTGGGTCTGATGGAACTTGGTTGTCCCAAGATAAATAACTCTCATGGCAGTGGAGTTCAAATTGTAAAAATTCTACATTTCCTTGTAATTACAAACACTTTTGACATACGAAATCTTTGGCATGATTACACAAGCAAATTGCAAACTAATCTCCAATTGAAGACGTTTTGTTTTCTCCTAAAACTGAATCATTTTTATCTCTTGAAATCCAAATACCACATTAATTTCCCTGAGAACCTAAAAGTTAATGTCAAATTAATTCACCAAATTTTGTGTCAAGATTTCTTCTTCTTTGAAGACCATTCACAATCCCCTTCAGATTTGAAACAGTTGTTAATATGTGCTGAAGGAGACATGTCTCTAGCTATGTCGATCTTCTGCAACAAAAATGTGAATTATTAGCTTAGATTCCAAACGAACCGTACAAAAAAAACTCCTCTTGTAATCTATGAATTAGCATTTTCCTCATCTCTCTTTTTCACTTGCAGAAAGCAAACTATCTTATATGAAAGCCAACAACAAAATATTATTGCAGAAAGTATATCAATTCAGTTGTCAATCTTACCTCAGTTGGAATTAGCCAATCCAAAAATGAAAGTACAAGATGGCAAAACGACACAACTAACAAAAAGGGCCACACTCCACTTCGAAGATAACTGAAAAAAGAAAAAGAATTGTACTTTTCATTCAAAAAGTTACACCAATCAAATTAAAGGACCTGTTCAGAGATGTGTTTGGTAATGTATAGTACACCATTTGATTCTGGGAAAAGGGATATGGCACATAACAAGTAAGTGTCATATCGCACTTATCCAGCATATGGTATTCCATCCTTTTAATACTGTGAACATATAATTTTACACTCTCATATTTTTATTTACAAGTCTGTACAATCCAATATTTAATTAAAAAGGAAGAGTGCTTATGAGAAGAAGCAGAATACCTTTAGCGAAAGCAATGTCATTTTATTAATCAGACAATTTTGTTATTTATTTTTTAATTTATTTATTCAAAGGGATGAACTCTTTACAAAAATTAATACATAGTATAATGATACAAAAAGAATTAGACAGTAAAAGCAATAAAATAAAAATTGTCATAAAACATTGAGTAAAATAAATTATCATGGGTCACATACAGACAAGATTTTTTTGAAGCAAGCTTTAAAGCACTCAAGGCTCAAAGAAGTCTAAAACATTACAAAAATCTTTTGACAGATTCTGTTAATGATATTGTTGGTGGCATAATTGGATCTACAAAACTTGGTGCTAAACAATACTTGATTTCTGGTAAATCTCTTCGTAGTACAGAGAACAACATTAGATTATATTTCATTACAATTAATATGGTTGTTAATGACATTATACAAAAATAACAAGTCATTCTAGTCTCTTACGTATGATAGTGAAGGTATATCAAACATTTCACGGGTCCAATTATAGTCATAGCAGAACCTAGATATGGGGGTGTTGTTTACATATACGATCTGATCAAGAAATCAGTTCTGAACTATCACAATAGTATCAATACAACAAAGTTTGTAAGGGCACCAGATCACGGATGAAGATTCCAAAAGAGGTCTAATGAAGGAAAAATACAAGATCTTGAAAGGTTCTAATGTCATTAAAGTCACAAGCATTTCTCATAATTAAGCTCAAGAGTTCTCACTGCATTGCTGAGGGGGTCAAAACATATAAATTAAAATTCTCTTTGCTGTCAAATAGTACTCCAAGGTCTTTGATGTTTCCAACAGTCAGCAGACAATCATTCAACGAATACTGATAATGAAAAGGATTTCTAAGACAAGAAAAAGTTATGGCAAAACATTTATCTGTGTGTAGTTGCATTGCATTAGCAATGCACCACAGATTCAAGTTATCGAAATTTTACTGCAAATGTTGAGCGTCATTCACATCCGAGATCCTGGAGTATATCTTCGTGTTACCAGTATATAATAAGGCACGACTATAGGAAAAGACAGATGGTAAGTCATATAATAAAGACCCAAAGGACCCAAATGAGAACCCTGAGGGACCCCCAATAACATCGGAAACGACTCAGAATAAAAGCCATTTATTGACCCATACTGTGTTCTACCCATCAAATAAGAAGTTATCCAGAACAGAAGAGGATTGTTCACACCCATCCTGGACAATTTGTGACAAAACAATATGATTAACTCTGTTGATGGCTTTAGTAAAGTCAGTATAAATTGCATCACCTTGTTAACCATTCTCAAATGCATCGGCGATAAAGCTTCTAAAAACTGTCAGGTTTGTAATAATTGATCAGTAGCTCCTAAATCCATGCTGACTTTCAGAAAGCAAATACTTTAAATTCAACATGAATTTAGTTACCAGCTTTTCAAACAATTTAGGGATAGCAATTATATCATGTAATAGTTATGATGAAAAAAATTCTCTTTTACCTTCTTAAATGTGCCCCTATTGTTTTATTGCGTTCTTTTGCAACAGAGTTATAAACTACTTCAGTTCGTTTGGTAACATCCATCCAACTATATAATGATTTTACTCTTTCATGACATTTAAATGGTGGTACAACTTTGCCAGATTTATAATCACCAATTGCTTTGTCCAAACCAACAAGAAGTGCTGAAACAAAATATATATTAATTATTTATAATGAACATAACACATTTTTTAAGATAATATAATAAATCTCAAAATGTAATGATTAAAACCAAAGGTATTATATTTTTGTAGGTAGAACAATAGCTACTGACCTACATGACTTCAGTATTCCATACAAAAGGTTATTACCAAACACATGAAAAATTACATAATTCTAATGCAATATCTATTAATATAGTTCAATAAATATGTGTGTCTCTTAATAACATACCTCTACAAATAATGTGTTTTTAAAAATGATTTGTTTGTTAACTAAGCAATTAGGGGGATAAAATCTTACATTATTATAAAGAAGTACATGTATGTATAAATGAATGATAAGTAGTTTTATATACATACACTGAGCTTTATATACATTTATATAAGAATCGCAAACACACCTTGCACATTTGGTTCAGTGAGGTATATTAGATCAGGAGGAAGTACTTCAGGAATACCACCTACACAAGTACTTACTACTTGTAAACTGAAACAAGAGCAATTCAATCATTATTTTCGGATGCAAAACCAAATGCTCCAAAACGTTATTTACCCACCCACATGACGCTGCTTCTACAATTGCCATACAATATGCTTCAGTTAAAGATGTATTCAGAAAGATATGGCCTTTGTTCAACACAGATCGCACTTGGGAATGCTCTAGACTTCCAAGGAGAGTAACACGATCTTGCAAACCACATCGCTCCCTCACTTCTTGCAAAAGCCAACACTTGGGACCATCTCCACCAATAAGAAATTGTACCTGTGCACAGAATAATTTTTATCACGTACTATTATTTCACAAAATGCATGAGAACATTTTTCTGGCAAAACAAATTATACATTATGAATCAATGTGTTTCTCATTCACAACTAACATTTTTCTGTACATTTGAGAAATATGCTACTGATTGATGATATGATTGAAGATCCTCCATTAGAATTTTCCTCAATGTTTGTTAACGTAGCAGTAACAATTTCTTTTGTGACAAATTACTAAAGAAGGGGTTTTTAAATTATCATGAACCGAGTCTGAGACACACACACACACACAAAAAAAAAAGTAATAAATTTTTGTGTTACACTTGAAGGAAAGAAAATCAAAACCTAGATTAAAATAAAAGTATAATTAAATGTATACATTTATTGAGAACACCTTTATCTTTGTGGTTATTCTATATTTATTAATTTAAAGTTGACTTCTAATAGAATTTATTTACAGGTGAGCTTCTTTCATATTCCCTTTAATACAACATGGTAGTCATAACTTGTGCTCATCAGAGACATTTGTAACATGCCAAAATTGAATTGTATACACAGTCACTAAATATTCTGCATTTTGAATCTGAGTAAGGAGGCAGTTACAATAAAATAAGTTAGGTGTGTTCATTAGAAAAGATTTAAAATACATGTGTGATGATTATTTATCTTTATTCCCATTATTGCAAATTAAAATAAAAAAACATCCCATGTTCATTCACTAAATAATAAGATTAGAGATGACCCACCTAATTTTAGTTCATGACTCACAAGTGGGCAGTCCACTTCGGAAACTTCTGCCTTAGAGAGCTGAGACTGAATCTCCAGAAACCCCATGAGTATAAATTGATTAAAGTGGTTTAATTGGTAAGGGTATTTTTATAATCCCTTAAACTTGAATGCTGCTTTGCTTTTTCTTACCTCAGAATATCTTGCACATATATCAGGAATAATTTGGGCCATCAAATCAACACCTTTTCGATATACAAGTCTGCTGACAATAACAACTGTAACTAAATAAAAATAAAGATTTTTTAAAAAAAAGAACATATGTGGGTGGTGAAAAAATTATATTTAAATCAATCCTTACTTTTATCAACACTCCTTGCTGAAGGATCAGGAGTAAATATATCAGTATCAACAGCATTAGGAATAACAAATACCCGATTATGATGAACTCTTGCACGCAGAACTGTATTTTCTTTCCTGGATGATAACAACTATTTTATTGAGTGGCAATCTTTTACATTATAAATAATAAATGAAGTTCTACTAACCCAGTATGAGAAACACAAATGCATGAATTACAATTTGAAAGCGACATTTCCAGTAACTTATTTGTAATGACAGCTGATGTGTCAGCAAAGCCAAAGAGGGAATGATCCGTAAAAACAGTCTGAAAAAAATAAAAAAATTTAAAAATTTTTTTTTAAAAATTGAAGGGCAATTGTTGTATAATCAAATATCCATGAAATGAAGTTTAAGGAATTTTTTTTTTTTTTAAATAAGAATCAATCATGGAAAGAATAACTAGTAGGCAAAGTATTAGTTTTCTGTCTGTACAAAAGACAGCAAAATATAAGAGAAATTTTCCGGGTTGGTAGGTCGTGGTCTAGTTGGCATTGAAGGGCCAAACATTTCGTCCACGACAGCGGTGGACATCTTCAATGGCAGCTGGGTCACAGGCTCATTGTTCAGGGCGGCGACTGACCGAACACATGGCCTACCAGCCTGGAAAATTTCTCTCATATTGACTCTGGCTGTAAAAGCATGATGATGCTATGAAAGAATACAGTTTGAATTAAATAATAATTCACCTATATTTTCACTTTAAACTTTCACTTTTAACTTTAGTTGAATCCTCTGCAATATTATAGCAGAGAATAAAACTAAAAATATTAAATCATCATGTAAATATTAGTCTGGAAAGAACTTTCCAGGTCTGAAAGAAAGAAAGAACAAAAAATAATATTTTATGCAATAAAAAC